ACCCTGAGAGGCAACCGATTTCTAACATTTCTCAATTACTCTTTTCAGCCGGCGTTCAGCTTTCTTTTCCATGGAGCCAACATTCTCTTTTAAAATGAAGTTGTCCAAATCCCAAGCCACTTACTATGTTCAATAGTGTTTTCCTTTTTCTCGTATAGAAATTCCTCTAAAAGAAAGGAAACTTTAAAAAAGAGAAAGAGCTACAGCCATATTTTGTTAAATGTCTCGCAAGATTAAATTCAGCTTAAAACTATTTAACTTAGAAAGTAAATGATCCAAAATTGTTGGCTTAATTGTCATCTTTAAATTACTACCCAGTTAGGGTAGACAGAATCCAACCTTCATTTAAGCTGGGGAGCTTACTATTACATTTTTAGGTCCAGAGGTTAAAATTCATTTGCTGGTACTAAATAAAATTTTGAATGGATATTTGCAGATAGGAAATTCATTTCTTCAAATGCTAGAAAACATAATTGCTTTATTAGACACTGAACAATAGAAAGGAAACTTGAGATTTTTTTTTTAACCTTTTAAACATAGCAGAATATTCAAGGTTCAGATATAACAACAATAAAGCTGGTTTTTAATTGCAAAAACAAAACAGAGAAAGAGACAAATGTACCTGTATATTTGCATCCCTGGCCTTTCTGCCTCTGACATTAAATACAGGATCTTTCCCCATCCGTGTTATAAACTGACTTTTAGATGAATCAGCAAGGGGATAGGATGGCATCTATGAAATCGCCTTTTTTTTATATATATATAAATAAAAATCAGACTTCCTTTACATATGCAGCTTAGTTTTCTCAGCTTGCTGAAAATGAAAGCCTGGTTTAGTCTTCCCATGTGCCACGTCTTTCTTCCCTCACATGAGTCAACCCTCTGGTTTGTTTAAAAGGAAAGGTGCAACCTGTAGAGAACAGCCTGAAGCAGCAGGGGGAGAAAACTTTTAACAGCTGTCTGGTGCCTTTCCAAGGGGCAAAGTTCCCTCATTGGATAAAACCTATTTTTCTCCTCTTATCCATCGCTTCCCACCGCACTGCTAAAGGCACTATACAAACAGGCAGATCTGCCAAGCATAACACAGTCACACGGCGCCAGCCATGCCTGCAGCCAGCCCTGGAAGATAGGTGCCGAACCAGGGCTGGCTGCTGGTGGGCTCCCCCCTTTCCTCTCACGGTGTGCCTGGGCAGGTCCCTTTTCTGGAACACTTTTGTGCTGCTATTGTTTCCAGCAAGACACTCACATTTTCAAATTTTGGTATAGATTTTTTCTTTCCTCCTCAAAATTTAAACTATCTTAAGAGTTTTTCAACACAGTAGGTGGAGACACGGATAAGTTCCCTGATTTATTTCCTACAGGAACTGAAGTGGTAGAACTCAGGCAAATGTTAAGAAAGCTGGCGCCGCAAATAAATGATTCTCTACCATAGAGTCAGATGGACTGTGTTACTAGGTAGAAATTAAGAGGACATACAGACAAAAATTCACGACATTTTTAATACCTGAGATGTAGAGCTTCAAAAGGAACATTTCCTAGGGTTTTCGGAGGAAACTAATAGGATCGTTTACTTCACATGTACATTTTCCCACACTTCTTCTTTTTAAAGATTTTATTTAGAGAGAGCACGAGTGGTGAGAGGTGCAGAGGGAGGAGAGAGTGAACCTCAAGCAGACTCCTCACTGAGTACAGAGCCCAACGCAGGCCTCGATCTCTCGACCCTGAGATGGTAACCTGAGCTGAAACCAAGAGTCAGATGCTCACATGACGGAGCCACCCAGGCACCCCTTGCCCACACTTTCTTTTTCCTTTATGGGATTTTTCTTTCCTTCTTTACTGTCTTACCTGCTTAGGTTGCTTGGCATCTCGTTATTTTTAGATCTGTGTGCTACACAGCTGTATGAAATCAAAGGAAATTCTACTGTTTTCAGTGTGCTAAAATAACAATATTTAGTTCAAACGGTACTATCTTAAACCTCAGGGAGCAACTCTACCAAATCACTTTCGTTTGTGAAAGCAGAGTGGAGACGCGGACCTCAGAGATCATGCACAGCAACCTAAAGGATAAAGATCTTATCCAAACACTGGCAGCATGCCAGATGGAAAAGCTGCCATACAAAAAAATACATTTCCAAAGATCATTTTATAATAGTCAATAGAAACCAGGTTTTCCTTCTCTTCTTTTTTCCTTAGATTTTATTACCCTTCACCCTTCTTGTCAGAGGTGAGCAAGGAGGAAAATGGTCATGTTTGCTTCTTTGTTAAATTGTTCATGTCTTCATTCCTCTATACTTTACTCATATTAAAATTCCTAATTATTGAAAACTTTGGTATCAAAAACTGTGGCTTGAATGTCATGATATTTCTTTTGGAAATTGGTTACTTGCATAACTAGAGCTGCAAAGTCAAAAGAAAAAAAATTTTCTTAAACTGGAGGGCTATTTCAAAAATGTAATGCAAGCAAAATCATGCTTTTGCTTTGATTTAAATGATAGACCAACCAGATTGTACCTCAGGCAGTATAAGCCATAAACCCACTATGAGTCGCCTTTGACGGAGCATCAAACGTGCAGCCTGTAATTGGGCAAGAGCTTTGTATCATTTGAGCTCCACATCCTTTTGAGTTGTAGCTTAATCCATTTTAATATAGGGTTCCTTCCATTATCGAGTTGACAGATTCCACTTGGCTGGAGGCGAAGTGCTAGAAACAATGACTAAAGACACTTAGATCTTTAGACCAGCAGCCAGTTAAGAATATGCTAAGTAATTACCAAATGGCTAATATTCTGTACCTCTTTGGTGCAGACCTGGGACAAATAAATAGATATCAGGAAAAGCTTAGTTTTTTTTAAGACCAGACATGTGAGATTTCTGTAAAAGATAGAAATATTCTCAAATTACAAATGGAAAATCATTAACAGTTTTTAGTACAACTTCTTTGAGATTTCTTCTAATTTAGTGACCCATTATGATTTTATTCCTATAAAATTGGATCTCAGGGTCATATATTGTGACTAATTCCAGTATATTTAATTCCCTGAGAATGATCCTCTTGAGTTCAAGGATCTGAGAAGTATAGTTTGAAGCCTTGACAAAATTCCAGTTAGAGCCTGGTATAAATGGCTCAGTTCAGGGGAGATTATGTTTCCAACTTGTCTAAATATGAAAGCAGGGAGAAAGCAGAGCTTTCTTATAGACTTTCCTTAATGTCACTCATTTTCTTCTCTACACCTGCAACATAGAGCCAAAGTTTTCCATTCCACAAAAATGTATTAGTCCATTAAGAATTCAAATGTGATGACAGAATTGTTCTGAATTAACATTCTGAATTATAATATTTTGAAATAATAAAATAGGTTTGGTATGTGGAAGGTTAAATATTTGGTAAAAAAATCAAATTATGAAAGAATTCTCTTCGTATTCATGTTCTTTGGATAAAGGCACATCAAATTTATTTAATTTGTACTAGTTTGAACTTTTGTGTTTTACCACCAGGGGGCAGGGTATGCTAACTATTGAATTGGTGAACACAAAAAGCACACGAGAGGCAATTTCAGACAGAAGTGAAAAATTCCCTGAATGGTTTCTGCACAGATCCTTCAGGGAAAGAGCTGTTGAATTGTTCACAGCATAATTTTCACACCAGTTATAAAAAAAACTAATTACAGTGTAAAACTATTAAAGCTCTTTTATAAGTAATTTTTATGATGTGGTGATTTGTTCCATTTAATTTTTAATAATCATGGGTTAATTTAAAACTGCAATCATAAATGAATGAAAAGAAATTGAAAATAATGGTTTCTCATATATTCCCATGTTTATAGATCACTTTCTTCATAATTATTTCAACTCAAATTTCATGTATCTTCTTAGGAAACAGTAATCTTCCTAACAAATTCACTGTGGGAACTTTAGAAAATATAGAAAAATATGTATAACTTAGAAAGTTTTTGAGAAACTTGGGAAGCCTGAATAAGCAAGGGTAATCTGTTTTACTAGGTTCTCTTTGATGACCATTAGCCATTTCACCTGCCAACAAACAGAGACAGCTGTCTTTTGGGATGCAAAGTTAATTCAAGAAGAGAACAGTTCAAAAGACAACAGAAACATGTAGCATGGGGTTTTATAGTCAGCTTTCTGAGGTCAGAATTTTTGGAAGGAAAGATAATTGCCTTGGAATTGAAATTATAAATTTTCACTCGTGCTAGTGTAACTGAAAAGAGTATTTCAAAAGCAAAATCCCAAATAGGCATAGATAAAGGACTTAAAATATATACAATTTTGAATTGAGGTATAATTGACATACTAGTTTCAGATGTGCAAAGTGATGATTTGATATTTGTATATCTTGAAAAACATGCAATAAGTCCAGTTAACATACATCACCATACATAGTTACAAAATTCTTTTTCTTGTGATGAGAACTTTTAAGTATATTCTCTTAGCAACTTTCAAATATGCAATACAGTGTTATTAACTCTAGTCACCATTCTATCCACTATATTCCCATGATGTGATTATTTTAAAACTGGAAATTTGTACCTTTTGACCCCCTTCACCCATTTTGCCAATCCTCCCACTCCCTGCTTCTGGTAAGCACCAATCTGTTTTTTGTATCTATCAATTTGGTGTTTTTGTTTTTAAGATGCCACATGTAAGTGAGGTCATACAGTATTTACCTTTCTCTGTCTGCCTCATCTCACATAGCATAATGCCCCCTGGGTCCATCCTTGTTGTCTCAAATGACAAACTTCCGTTCCTTTTTTATGGCTGAATAATATTCCATTTTAATAATTAAAGTATTTTTGAGAGAGAAAACTGGATTTAAATATATTCAAGGTAAACTGCTTTTATTTACAAGGGCATGTGATTCTATATTGATCCTGTTGACCATTCCTTTAATATTATCAATGGTAAGTCTTAAAAACCTTATTATAAGTAAGTATAAATTCCTCAGGTGCATGAACAATGTCTTTACTCCTCTTCACATTTCTTTTCAGTGTCCAAGCAAAACCTATGATCCACTGATTAAATCCACCCGAGATTTTCCGGATGATGTCATCAGTTTCATCAAGCGGCACCCTGTGATGTTTAAATCAGTATACCCAGTTGCGGGAGGACCAACATTCAAGAGGATCAATGTGGATTACAGACTGACCCAGATCGTGGTGGATCATGTTGTTGCAGAAGATGGTCAATACGATGTAATGTTCCTTGGAACAGGTATGCTAGAACCAGATTATGCTTTCTTCCAAAAGAATTTTTCACTATTAGACAAAGAAAGCAAAACTTCAAAAAGATTGTTGGTAAAAATCAAGCTGAGTAATTATTAGCTAATATCTAGTCAGTATTTCTTACCATTACATAACACATGCTTTTAAGTGACAGTTATAAATATCTCCCCACCTCCTTTGGTATTATCTGAGATTTCAAAATATATTTGTATGTTATGACTACAAAATACCTGCTTAGATTAGGTGCTCAACATATATTTGTTGATTGACTATGGACTAAAATTAAACAAGTATGGCAAAGCAATGTTTCTTTTCAAACTTCACATTTTCCACTCTCTAAGGAGATTTTTGATAAGCCCCCTCAAAGGATCCCTTCACCCAATTTTGAGAATCGCTGACTAAGATGCTTTTCAAAAAATTAAGCAACAGTTTGTAAAAATCTTTAAGTAGAAACTTGTTGGAAATCATTTTTCCTGTCTTTGAATTTTGTGGATTAAGTATAACTTTCATTATTAGAGCCCATTTTACTTAATTTTTTTGTCTGTCAACTCAGTAATTATAAAATGATTAAAAAATATTTTTCCAGAAAAAGATATATTGCTTATATAGTCTGTCTCAAAAAAAAGGAAAAAGAAAAAAAAGGTATCATTTAATAATACCATGTGAATTCTAATGGCAGTAGAGTTAACATGCATCATTTAGACAAAAGTACTTCATCGTGGATAAATGTTGTATGATTTAGTGAATCAGGCCTTGCATAAAGAAACAGAAATTAATGGGTTTTCAAGAAATGGACATTTTTATTGAAATAGGTTTTCAGAACTAGAGAACAGTTTTATTTATTTATTTTTAAACGTTTTACAAAAGTAGGGTTTATCAGGGAGTGTGTGTGTCACACACTTAGAGGGCTTTCTGGAATACTCGTTGTCAAGCCTGATGATGTTGCAGATGGCAATACCAAGACCCAGGAAAGGAAGTGATGCTTTCAAGACTGTAGAGATTACTACTGAAGTGACAAAATTTGAAATAATTAATCTCTCATGAATTCTAAGGAGTTTGCCCCTTAATTTGCAGAGCCCACCCAAAGCATTCCTAGGTCATTTCCAGTGTTGTAAATGCTATTCAGCCACTAGGTGGTACTACCTAACTTTTGCTGAGAAAATTATAAGGTAAATAAGATGGATAGATTTTCAATTATGACATTTGGAAAATGTATATTTAATATTTTTCAAAAATCCTAGAATCATTTAAAAACAGAGTTAAATAATTCAGACTACTTTGTGCAAATAGGATCATTACCATACATGTGAATATTCTTCAACCACAGTGCCAGAATTTAAAAGCATCTATTTTGTATAATTTCCAAATGAGGCTTTTTTTTGTTTTTTGTTTTTTCTAAAACGTTCTTTTGATTGTCTTTCTGCAATAGCATGCCACCTTGGAAACTGCAATAGAAGATCCTATATTTAAGGCATCTTTACTAAATGCCAATATTTGGTTTATAGTCTTTCAAATTTGGGTTACTCTTTTAAATTAAACTAAAATAATTTTAAACAAAACTTCAATTTCTAGCCCATTAATAAGGTTTCTGTAAATAAAATATGTTTGATGAGTGCACTACAATTTTCCCCATGTAGATGGCTTCAGTGATTTCTCTATCATTTGTTAACATGATTTAAAAATGTATATATCCTACCTTTCGTGGTAAGTTGGATATAAGTACTAACTAAATACTTCTTATACTGAGAGAGAGAGAAAAATATATTTTAGTATATTTTCACCTTTCAAATTAAGTTACAAAAAGGTCATTCCACTTTAGTTATAGTTTCAACCAGTATTTAAGTGAGACCTATATATTCCTTTTGCTAACAATGTACTTCAAGTACACGTCTTTTAATATTTTCTTTATAAATATGTTTTATGAGCTAAAAACTATCATGTTTTGGAAGGAGAGAATCCAGTCCACTAAGCTTCCCTTCTTGCATGCTTTATTTAATCTGACTTCTTGAGAGGCATTGAAAGAAAAATGAGGGGAACAATATAAATGTTGCTAAGCATATACTTAAAGCCAAACACTGAAGTAGAAACAGCAGGATCATAGGTCATGTATTTTTTCAGACATTGGGACAGTCCTCAAAGTGGTCAGCATTTCAAAGGAGAAGTGGAATATGGAAGAAGTAGTATTGGAGGAGTTGCAGATATTCAAGGTAAGACAGTCCATAGCTACAGAAGAGATGGTGAAACTTAACAGCTCTTGGTATAGAACAGTATATTTATTTATTTATTTATTTATTTTTAAAGATTTTATTTATTTATTTGAGAGAGAGAGAGCACATGAGAGGGGGGAGGGTCAGAGGGAGAAGCAGACTCCCTGCCGAGCAGGGAGCCCGATGAGGAACTCGATCCCAGGACTCCAGGATCATGACCTGAGCTGAAGGCAGTCGCTTAACCAACTGAGCCACCCAGGTGCCCTAGAACAGTATATTTAAATACATCATCACTTTTCCTGGAGATGTCTGTGCACTTAGCTCCTTTACTTTCCTTCTCCTTAGGCAACGGAAAAAAAGTTTTAAAAGCAACCGAGAATGGGACTCCCCTTTCCCTGTAGAATACCACTAAATTCAGGGCTCCTGGGATTGCCCCTCATTACTTTATTCTCTAAGCATATGGTCAGACAAATCGCCACAGTAGATGAAAGCCTGGGGTCTCTTTGACTATCCAGATGCTTTTCTACTTTATAAATTCTACTTTTCAATTTTTCCTCAATTGAATTTGAGAAAACTGGAAGAGTGTATAAATCACACGTCCCTGCTTTTTTGTAAGGAATTTTTTTTTAAAGGTTGTATGATATGCAAGTCTTCATTCTTTATGTATGCTACATTCCCTTAAGGAGTTACTAGATCTAAAATAATAGTTTTCCGGATTTGGGGAATGTCTGACTTTTAACAGTACATTTGAATTGTGGTGTTCTTTGTAGATGCTCAGTGACAGTTTAAAATTATTTTCTGAGAATAACATTAGAAATAAAATTGTATTTCTGAGAGGAGCCTTTAAAAAATACATTGTTCCTTTCGTAACATTTTTGTTGAGATGGTTCGTTAAAATGGGCTGTTTCCCTGTGAACATCTATTGCCTTAAAATGGAGTAGAGCCCTCAATGAGGAGGAAAGCAAGGTAATTAACTAGCTGAGTTCCGCAGGATCCTGTTTACATTGTGATGATAATAGTGGTCAAGGAGTTAACTAGAACAAGATCTGCTATCTGGCATCTACCAAAAACAGTCTTGGGTGGTTTCTGAGGGAGAAGCTGATGTCAAATATAAGTGTGAACCCAGAAGCCAAAAATAAAACTCCCACAATACCTAGGGCACATTAGAATAAGGTTTACTTATTGACTGTTAGTGATCAAGAGGAATTGTTCGGATTCCACTGTTAGGATTAAATAATGAATCTGTTTTCTTCATTTAAAAAAAAAAGTTACTGGATAGAACTTTCTCATTTTAACATCTTCCTTTCCTTTTTTATGTATTTTCTTAAACTTCTGATATCTGCTTCTGTTTATCGGTTTGAAAATATTGGCCAGTGAGAAATGAATGAATAGTAAATAGGTAGATGATAAGTAGATGAAAAAATTTTAAAGCATGCCATCCTTTAGTTTGGTAGCTTTTGTGTTCATATTTCTAATTTTATATTGCATGCACAAAGCCATAATTTCTACAAATAAAGCTAGCCTTAGTTCATATAACAAAATCATGTGCATCAGTAGCTTGCAGTGTTCCATAAAGAATATGCTCATCCACAAGGAGCACTATAACTTTTCAGAACTCTGCTACTTGAACAAGTTTTTGAACTACTGATCTAAGTAAGAGCAGGACGAGGTAATAAATAATTATGGAGATGTTCTTGTCAACACTAGTTTGAATTATATGGAAGCAGTTAAGATAAGCAGATTTAGAAGGAGAAGCCTTGTGGGTAACTGGGAGTGATTTTCAATGCAGAGTTTTTCTTCATACATTTAGGTAATTTTTCTGTAATAAGATACTTTAAAATAACTATTTTGATAATTTCTATTAAGGTAGAATTACAACACATTGGAAGGAAATAGCAAACATTAAGATCCTTTTCCCCTCCTGTGTAACAGACCCTTGAAGTTTACTTCAGTGATCTTTGGCACATGACGAAACAACATATTGGCTACTATAAAAGACTGTTAATGATTATCTTTATTAACATTTGACTTCTTTTTTCAGCACTCATCAATCATCTTGAACATGGAGTTGTCTCTGAAGCAGGTACTTTCTAATTTTTGTGTAAATATTAGCTACCAAAGCAACAAGTTCCTCGAATTCAAGTTCAATTTAGGAAAAATCTATTGAAGTTGGAAGTTAAATTTTAAATAATATAAAAAGCTCTAGATTATTTGTTTCTTTTATAACCTATTAGAGGCCACTGTGGCAATCTTGTTTTAGGAGAAGTAGAACCAAGTACCATTAAGTGAATGATATATTCTCCCCTTCCCTTGGCTCTTGAAAACTGAGCTCAATTTCTTTGTCTCTTGAGGATGTGTTTCTGTCAAGGCCATAAGAAATTCATGTAGAATACCAGCCCTAATCACTAAAAATGATTTTTAACCAGGGAATCTAAAAGTTAGACTATGGACTGTGGTGGCGAAGAGCCCAAGAGTCAACCTCCATCCTTCCACTTCGTATCTGATTCCTGGAATCAATTTCCTTAACGGTGAAGTTAGGGAAATAAAATCCAACTCCTAATAAATGGATGCTGCATGCAAAATTCTAGACAGAGAGTTGGTACATTGTGAGTGTAAAGTAAATGGTAGCTAATAATAATATTTATTAGATTCCACAGTTCTCAGATATGATACTCCAAATCCTCGTTGATTCAAGAGGTTCAGACTTGCATTAGGCTAAGAAAGTTATGGGACAATGTGTTGAACCATAAGGTTTTGCCAACATTGTCTTAATCTACTATGCCTAGTAATGATACAGAGATTATTAGGGAAAAGATCTAAACAGGTTTCTTCTTTGGTCTTTTCCATTAATTTGTCCACTCAACATTTAGTTCTTGAAGGTCTACTACTGCCCTTGGAGGGTACAGAAATGAATGAATGGCATAGCCCTTAACTTCCAGAAGCTCACAGTGGAACCCGGAGATGAAGAGGGAGCACACTGACAATGCACAGCGATAGTGGAAGCACATACTGGGGGGACACAGGGGAGTCTAAGAGGGAGCCAGGTGGAGCAGGGGAAGACAGCACAAAGAAGACCATGTACTCAAACTATGAAGGATGTTTCAGTTAACCAGATAAATTCAAAGAGGGTGGGATGAGGAAGCCTATGTCAAGGGGAGGAGGAGAACATTTGGAAAGGTGTGAAGAGCGAGAGACCATGGCTTCTTCTAGTAAGTTTGTGGACACTTAGAGCAAAGGGCGTATGTGTATGCAGGAGGCAAGGAGGCTAGAAATGAATCTGGGATTATAAGACAGAGCAAGATTAGGTGCATTCTTCTATGTCCTCCTAAGAGGTTTAAAAAGTTTATCTAAGGACAATGAAAACTTTTAAATATTTTCAGCAGGAATGTGTTGTGATAAGATTTTCCTCTTAGGAAGGTCGATGTGGTGTGGCTGAGTCCGGGGGTTGAAAACAAGACGGAAGCCAGTGGAAATACTAGGACACCTATAAGTAATCCAGGACAGAAATGATTAAGACTAAGGTGGTGACAGTGACGGAAGCAGTGCAGAGGAAGAGAAGGAAGTCAGGAGCTCTGTGTAAGAGAAAGGAATAGATATGGTGGCCAACTGAGAGAGAGGGGACTCAGGGACAACTGCCTCCTTTGTGTCCTGGGTGACTGGGGACGTGCCTCTCACCAAGGCAGGGTAGCAGGGCTAGATTGAGGGCAATCAGTATGTGCACCTCAGTGTTGTTTTCAAGATGCCACTGACTCTTTGGAGAATAAGAACAGCAAAGGAATGAGGATAGAAAAGAGGGGACACCTAACATTTAATGCAAAGAAAGGAATCATCAAAGGAGACCAAAGTCTTAGGCAGGAATAAAGACGGAGCACAAGGAAAAGCGAAGCGAGTTTCAAAGAAGATGTCATTCTTGGCATCAAACACCACAGAGAATTTAAGTAAAACAAATACTGAACAGGGGGCATTGCATTTAGCAACCGGGAAGTCCTAACTGACATTGTCATGGGCTGGAGAGGTGTAAGACAGATTTCTGCAGGCTGAGTACATGTATGATGTTTATGTCAATATTTATTTCTCGAGTTTTCCCCCTTTGTTAAATGTTTGACATGGTCCAGGAGTGTTGACCATGAGTTCCCCCAAGGCACAGACTCTGGCTTATTTAACTATATTATCCCTCTCCCTACGTCCTCCAGCACATACACTTAAGTGAATGCATCTAAAGAGCAGTGCATCATTTTCAGGACTTATTTTCAAAATGGGATTTTATGTGCTATCCTGCAGCCTTTCATTTGTGATCTTTCAAGCCTCCTTAATACTTTCTTCACGGCGATACTAAATATTTTCTCTCCCTCTTATAACCCATTTTCCTTCAGGGATCAGTAAATACTTCATTAGCAAGTGAGATGGTTCAAACCACAAGAAAGTTTTATAAATCCTTTTTCAGTCATCTCTCATGGAGGAAGCCACAGCAGAGGAAGACCATCAGTGTTGCCTAAAGCATCTGTGCTTGATATAATCTACCAAAGCGTATTTTCAACCATTGAGAAAGAATTTGACGTCTTAATTCCTCAGTCTAACAGCTGGTTTTTGACCTTCTTAAATTACAGCCAAGGTTATTCTAGCTCTAGAGCACTGTCCATTCCAGTGTCAACATCATCCAACCCCCATCCTGCCAGGAGTAGAAGTGATTGACTTACCTTACTCTTTGTTATGTTTCTGCACAAGTGCTTACATTCTGTATAAGGGACACTTGACGAGACTGACTGAGGTCTGTGGTGTGGTATTCAAGAAAGGGAAGTTTTTAAGACTAGTCTGAAAGATGCTTCCAATTCATTTGTCTTGCATGATTTGTAGCAACAATTGTACATTGGCTCCCGCGATGGGTTGGTTCAGCTCTCCTTGCACAGATGCGACACGTATGGGAAAGCCTGTGCAGACTGTTGTCTGGCCAGAGACCCCTACTGTGCCTGGGATGGAAATGCATGCTCTCGATACGCACCCACTTCAAAGAGGTAAGAGGCACAGTGAGTTAAGGGATAGCCTTCTTTTCTACACAGTGAATATCTCACACGAATACCTTGTCAGAGTTTAAAGAGAAAATAGATTGCAAACCATGGTCTGCTTTAAGACTATTACAATTCAGTGTTGTTTTACACGTGTGCATAAAACTCAGTGTTGAAGGAGGATAAAATAGAGTGTTCTGAAGCTCTGAAATGGGGGACTTTAAAAGTTCAGATAAATTGTTTATATTCTTTTCCCTCATCTATGTTAAATACTATTACAGGTTTGTTTTCCTCGACTACTTTGCCCTTGCTTTCATTCCTCCCTTCTTCCCTTATTTTTAAATATGTATATACTTTGCCTTACTGTTTTGCAAACAATGTATGAATATATGTGTTTGTGAAAGTGTGGATTATATACAGCCCACAGCACATCCCAGTGACTGGGTGCAATTTTATTTTTACTACAGTAACTTTAACTTGGTCAGCTTCTGCCACTCAGATATACTTGAAATGTCAAAATGTTGCCCTGCTGTTTGCTGTTCATTGCTTTATGTGCTCTTAAAAATCATCCTATTTTGAGCCAACAACACCCAGCTAGAAATTTCTTCTAGACACACATGGGCAAAAGCACCACAAAGTCATTCAAGCACTGATCCAGTTTCAGCACTGTTTTCAATAGCGAAATAATTGGAATGAACCTGAATGCCATCAACATGACTGATACTGGCTAAATATATAATGATAATAATTTTTTAAATGTGTATTTTAGTAACTTTTTTTTCCTATAGTATTGTTCAAAGTGTATTTTTCCTCCAGGTAAAATGTCAGCAAATTGTATATGGTATTTTTTTTTAAATCTTTAGGTCTGTATTAACAAAATACGATGGTAACAGGTGAATATATAGTTTAGTCCCACTAGTGCATACAACACTTGTTTCTTGTTTGACAAATCAGTCAAATTTCAAATTCCAGGAATCACAGATTGAATGTAGAGTACAATAGCAGATGCTGCTTGAGATATTTTATATTCCCTGAAATTTCTTCATTAGATATGAATGGAGAGATACTATTATTACAAGTCGAAAGTAAAAAAACCCAATATTTTATTATAGTTTTTGGCTAAGAATATACTTATGATAGTGAGTCCTTGGGGAATATTTTTCTTTTCTAGAGCTAAAAAACAAGAGTGCTCATTAGTTGGTAATGAACCTTCAGTTTGACGAATCGACCCTGTTTCTCAAGAAGCCAAGATTTAAAAACATTCTTGACCTTATGCACCTTATACCATCATAATTTTTCTTCTTACATTTCCCAAGACTGTATCTCTGATCTTGCAGACATGCCACTGTGATATTTTCCCTTACCTTAACATAACGTGCACGTGAGCCAAAAAAATGTATATGATAGATGAATCTTGTATGGGGTTATCACCTGGTCAGCACTGCCCTTAAGGAACACCCTAGATATTGCAGAGTTTACTGTGACTTTTATAGTTGCTGAAGTGCCAACATAAAATAGCTAAAGCAAATGAGAATATGCTATAAGAGATTAAGACTTCTTTAATTTTGATCTAGCAGCTTTTTCTTTTTTTAAGCAATAGCTACTGTTTTCTCTTAAGGAACAGATGTAACAATAATGCACAACACCATTATTTATTATTATCATTATCTCTACCCTTGGAAAAACAATGTGAACAAGCTCTCAGCAGACAGGAGTGACTTTGAGCCATTCCTGCCATATCAGACTTGTACTTCCATTTGTGGTGACAATATTTAACTTGTTGCTTAATCAAATCTATGTAATAATGAATCTTCCTATGGTGAGGAGTTGTGTATTTGTGTTTACTTTCCTACCCACTAACTAAAGCTCTTATATCTTATTACTTTCCCACTGACTGATTGAAAAAAAAGAGAGTAGGGAGAGTTGTCCCTGTTGGATGGGTCTGAAACCAGGATTATATTTATAGTCAACCTGTTCTACTGAATAATTTGTCAAAAGTCAGAGGAGTTAAATAAAATTCAAGTCAACTTATTTCCAAAACAGGATTCACTCTGTTAAGACTCTATTTGTTAGTAGTATTTGAATTAAGGTTAGAGTGATGGGAATATTGCCCTGTATTTAAGCTGAGCAGTAAGACAAACATAGTTCTGCTTCTGCCACTGTTATCGGTGTTAGAGGCAGAGTTTATATAATCTGGCTCTCACGCCTGATGTTCTAAACCATTTAATCCCTTTTCCATAGGCGAGCTAGACGGCAAGATGTAAAGTATGGAGACCCAATCACCCAGTGCTGGGACATAGAAGACAGTAAGTATAGCTTTAATATGCTTTTTTCCCATTTAAAATTTTAAGCCTAGTCTTTGTGTGTCTTTTTATTATATGACTTAAAATATCTATTATATAGGAAGCTCTTATTTGATATAATGTGTATGTTCTGGAAAAGCAACAGGAGATTTTATAAATCAACCCCCTGTCTACATGCCTAAGTGAATAATCCTTTGTTATATCATTATTTGTTTCATATGTCTTTTAAAATTCCTGTCCTTTTTTTTTTTTGTACTTTTTACTGCCTTATCCATTCTTGTAAAGTTTAAAAACTGCTAATAAAGATAAAACAGGATATAGTCCAAAACATATGGACATTTAGGGTAAACTCGGAGATCCTCCCAGAAAAGTCTGATGAGCATGTAGGCACTTGTTAGAAAGTTAGCCTATGCATTATTTGAATTCGTGTTTTAATTCATGGTTTCATTCAATCAGTAAATGTTTAGTAAGTGATTTCCATGTGCATATAATTGTCCTGGGGACATTTTGGGACAAAGCAACTCCTTTGAGAGCTTAAGATTCTTTGGGGAGATGTCATAAAGCACAATTAGTGAAATGGGAGTTTAACAAAGAGAGTGATCACCAGAGGCTGCATTGTTCAGAGAAAGTTTCATAGAAGATTTTGAGAGCCTGAGTACGAACGGGACAGAGTGGAGAATAGAGAGGACTTCTGTCGAGTCTGATAACAGAGAAAAGAACCTGTAAGAGTATATATTCCAAAGCTTTGGTTGTGTTCCACTGTCAAGCTCTACCTTCAGACAGAAAGTGTGTGTGCATGCCTGCGCGTGTGCACACACACACATATGTGTGCGCACACACGCGCGCACTCAACTGGAGGAAGGAAACTGCCTTATCACACTGTTAGTGACGGCCCCCGCACTGAATAAACAACCCAAACTTCATAGTCTATAACTGGTGGCCTAAAAGTTTTGTAGTTTAAAAACAATTATTTATCATTCATAATTTCACTCTTCTGAAAAATAAGCTCAGGTCCAACATCGTATGTTCGACTCCCCGTTTTAATGTGTGGGAGACTCCCTGTCACGCCAGGGTTTTATTTAGCAATTGTTACTGTGTGCTCTGATACGGTTTTTCATTTGTGCACGTGAGATTTATCAGGAACCATTGTAGGTATTGCGGATACACCCACAATAAATAAAGAAAACAACCCGCGCATCCGTGGAACTTCTGTTCAAGTTGTGTTGGGGAGGGAGCAGGCAGTGAACTTAAAAAACAGTAAAATATATTCTCTATTATGCTAAGCGAAATAAGTCAATCAGAGAAAGACATGTATCATATGATCTCACTGATATGAGTGGTAGGGGGTGGGAGGGATGGGGTGGCTGGGTGATAGACAT